GACGAGAAATCCTGGTGGCATCGCCTCCATCTAATTAATGCCATGGGTCCAATCTTCGCTTAGTTTTATTATTGCATCATCAGATCGGAAACATCTTTCGTCATTTCCATTAAAGTCGGTTTCACACAAAACAAGGTGCCGAGTAACACCGGAAAATCTCGTTAACTCCAAAGGCGGACAGACGTTTGGCCTGAGAAATTCACTATTAAGGCAGGATAATTATATTTTTAATAGAAAAATGTTGAAGCGACTCCCGTCGCGCAGGGGTCTTCGGAAACAGGCGGTTGCTACATGTCGCTTGTATCCCTAATTTGTCTAGAACTCGGCGGTGAGTTAATCACAGGAAATAGAGCATTCCAATCACGAGGAACCATCAAAGGTTATGAAGACATTACAAAACTCACCAATGTCGAATACCCGCAAATTGGGAGTCGCCCATCCATCGAACTCCACACTCGTGATGTTGTTGTTGTTAAGACGGAGTATTTCCAGTGTGTCGCTTCTGAAGGCCGGGACAGAGATCAACAAATTGTCGTTGACCAAGAGTTGTTTCAATCTGGGGGTCGCCCATCCGTCGAACTCCACACTCGTGATCTTATTGTAACCGAGGTCGAGACTTTCGATGCTGTCGCTCTTGAGAGCCGGGACATGGGTCAACGACATGTTGCAGAGCTTGAGTACTTTCAGTCTGGGAGTAGCCCATTCCTCGAACTTCACGCTCGTGAACTTATTGGTACAGAGGATGAGATTTTCTATGCTGTCGCTCTTAAATGCCGGGACAGAGGTCAACGAAATGTTGCTGAGGAAGAGTTGTTTCAAATTGGGAGTCGCCCATTCGTCGAACTTCAGACTAGTGATCTTATTGTCATTAAGACTCAGTAACTCCAGGCTGTCGCTCCTGATGGCCGGGATAGACGTCAACAAATTGTTGTGGAGTTGGAGTACTTTCAAATTGGGAGTCGCCCATCTGTCGAACTCCACACTCATGATCTTATTGTTGTGAAGAAAGAGTATTTCTAGGCTCTTGCTCATGAAGGCCGGGACAGAGGTCAACAAATTATTGAAGAGATGCAGTTCTTTCAAGCGGTGGAATTCACTAAGATCGTAAAAGGGAAAATCCTCCAGGGGACAGTGAGAAATCACGAAAACCTCGAGGCGACCTTGTAAAGGTACTAGGGCTAATGGATGGATGTTCTTAACTGCACTCCCATAAATTTGTATAAACTCGAATGTAAGTCTCTGGAAGGTTCCTTCTGTTAGCTCCAATACTGCTGCATTGTTTTGAATGTAGAATCTCCTGCAAGATGGAAAAGTTTGTTGGATATATTCCTCGTTATGATCTTGTTAGGGAATATATAGGAATATTGTTAGGTCATGCACAAGCGATTATACTAATATAAGGTCCGGCGGGATTTATTCTGATTACTCATGGAACTTCTCCTGACTAGAGACTTTTAGACTTGGCGATGTCTTCATTTACAATATGAGTTGGCGGATAAAGTCCTAAGTATTCCTTTGCACAACTGATTCTAGTTATGCTTCGCGATACTCTGATGGTTTCCTTGAAAGCTCGCACGAGGATTTCCAAGATATCATTCATTAGGACCTACGAGGGTGTTCCGAAATATAACTGCAATCCATGTCTATGCTGTCCATATGTGGTAATTTCTGGCAATCCGCATAATGCGCGCGGAAGCTGACAAATGTTGCGCCTAGCTGAAGCCTTAGCTCGAGCGAATGCGCATGATGATGATGGCGGTAGTGGACCACAAACCAATACGGTCAGTATGCTTTCTTTGTGCATTAACAAAGAGTAGCGGTCTGTTTCCCGTTGTTTGTGGTAGAAGCTCTTAAACCAGCAGATGTGGACGAACGAATATTAGCCCAGTATGGCTCGAGCTGTATGACAGGAAAAACCGTACCAGTTGATGGAAAGGTTCCGAACATGTGCTACAGTACTTTGACATCCTGATGCATTGTCAACAACAATCGGTGCGGAAAATCTGGTAGATTTCCACCGTGTGAGACATTAACCTATCGCCAAATTCACCTCTTACTCACTTTGTCGTTCTAACAGATTGGTGCAAGTGGCTGTTTTGTACGGAATGAGAGGCGAGGGGTAATGCGTACATTTTCCATATGTCATTTTTCTAGTGCCAGAGTTTTTCACTAATTAATTTTCGATCAAAATATATATTTCAACTGGTCCCTTCATTCATTTCATTCAGCGTCAAAATATTCCTACCTACATTCAATTCAAAGCTACCAGGCGAGTTGCATTTTCTTATTTAGGAGACGTGCCATCATCTGCTGCCTTCTTTGATATTATTAGAGGAAATATCGTCATTCTGTTCCATAGGACAAATAATGTATTTTGCATACGGTACTACGTATTTGAATGACACTTTGAGTATCACTGGTATATCTGTGATGCGGGGATCCATTTCTTTGACCACTCTTTGGAATCAGAATTCTAGCCTTTGATCATCTTCCCTTTCCCAATTGTGATGGAAGAAGAGCCATGTTTAGGGTGAAGTTAGAGAGAGAGCGGTCCCTTCAGTGCAAGGGTGACCAGGTGTTACGGCCATATGGAGTCCAGATAATTGGAAGCAATTGAGAATATGAAAATACATTTTACTCACCAGAGTTGTGAAGGAGGCAATGAGGTGTTCGTCAGTGCTGAGGAAATCTCAGCACTAGAGCTGGCACTTGAACAATCCACTGTCGCACGACGATATGCATCTTCAGCGCACTTGCAGGGTGAGATGTCTTGGGTGGGGCATGTCTGCCCTCTTATCTCCGACAAAATATGAGCAAAGAAAATGACGAGAACAGTCAATAATGGATTCATTATAGGATTCCCTGTCGGGGAACTGCCAGAAGAGGCTCGTGGGGGTAGGTTATTATTTTGTGGTCTGTCTTCACGGGTGATGGAGGATGATCCACATTACCGCGGCAAGTATTTCTGTTGGAAGGGAAAAATATTCTTATACATTCATGAACGAATGAGAAAGGAACTGCGTATGTGTGAGCTATATATTATTTAATGCCTATGTGACGCTTATACGATGCTTATGAGCTATAGGTGGTGGTATGAGGTCCTCCTTCTTGTTTGGTCCACCAATTATATATATTTCGATGCCATGTTACAGTTTTCCACTGTTGTCAAGTTCGCTGGAGCGAAAAATCTCTTAGAAGCGCCTCTATGTGTACAGGGTGACGCAAGAAAAGGAAGCCTTCATCTTCAAGTGTCATTATAATGCACGGGTTTAGCATGTCCGAAGGGAAAAGGTTGTGGAAAAAAGAAAAATAATATGTATTTATTAATTCAAAACAGAAATTCGTCATGTCCCCCATTCTGGTCTATGATGATCTGGAATCGAGTGTGCCATTGTCTAACTGCGCTGTGCAACGGGAGGAAGGGGAAGGCTTCCCAAGAATTGACAACTGCCTCTTCCAATTCTTGAATGCTCTGGATTTCGTTCTGGCAGACTTTTATTTGCAATACAGCCCAAAGTAGACAACAGGGTTTACATTAGGGCTGTTGGGGGGCCACATGGTAGGTTGAATGAAGTCCGGCATTTCATTTTGCGGGAAGGAGTCCAGGAGTGGCTCAAGTCGCTCAAACTTCCTGTGTCCACATAATTTTCTCGCACCCTCCGCGGATGAGGCAAAAGTTTACTTTCTCATGGAAAAGGGATTAATGACTTTGCAACCCCACACTTAAGTTTCTATTGCATATCCATGTCCAAGATGAACAAGTAAAACGTGACTGTAGTGCACATTAAGCCGTCTTCATTCTCATTCGTGGTCTATCCCCATGCAAGGAATGTGTATTGAAAACATTTATCCTGATTTTCTTCTACTCAAGTAACTAACTCTTCGGGTCAGGCCTAGGCCTTTCTTCTTTTGTTCAAAAGAAACTCAATCTTGGAATTACTGGTCCAATTAGGCCTATAAGGATTAGTCTCTGGTCTTCGAGACATCTCGTCGAAGAAGTATAACGTTAGGCCAATCGGACTATTCAATCTCTCACGATCCTTTCAAGGAATATGTGTAACGTTAGACCGATTAGAGGTCTGTTTCGAGTTTTATTAAACATTTCAGTGCTGATGATGAACGTTAGGTCTATGTAGAGTTCTTAGAACCGTTTCGACGATTTCTGATGAGGAAATGCCTCCAGGAAGTCTGGAATACAACACGGGCTACATCCTGTTAATTCAGGGATGTCCGAATGAGATATCTTCAGATCTCACGGAATCGATCGGCCGCTGCTAGCCACCATTTAAATCTCACTCATCTGTTGAACTCGCCGCAAAATTATCTGAAACATAATAAAGCAGAAGATCCACATAACGATACTTAAGCTGAAGAAGTCACGAATCTGGCATAACTCAGGCAACACTGGAGGACGCGTCTGGAGCCATCACGCAAAGCCTAAATGGACGACAGGTACTTTTATATTTGTATGGCGAATTGGTGCTCTGGAATCAAGGAAATTGATACTTTTCACGGACCGGAGCAAGCACCTAAGCCTAATTGAACGACAGCTAATTTTATTTTATTTTTTAAATGGCGAAATGGGGCATCGCAAACAACAAAAGAGCCACTTTTCGTAATGTACGAGTCAATATCTCATTCAATATCTTATTGACAATGCTTCTTGAAGGCATTCTCTCCTCAGACATTTTCCAGATGGTTCGAGGAACTCCAGATAGGCCTAACGTTCCACGTCCCACTGAAATGGTTCATGAAACGCGAAACAGGCCTCCAATCGGTCTAACGTTACACGTCCTCTCTGAAATGGTTCGTGATAGCATGAATAGGCCTGCGATTGGCCGAACGTTACACGTCCTCAACCAGATGTCTCGAAGACCACGATTCACCCTAATAGGCCAAATAGACATAGTACGTCGAGAATTGAGTTTCTTTTGAAAAGAAAAAGGTAGGCCTTGGCGTAACCAGAAGGCAGTATGTTGGTTAAGCTTAGGCCTAACGTTAGTGAGTCCCGTAGAGAGGCGGGGTGGGGGGAGAAGAAGATAAAAAAAAAGGGAAAGCCGTTGAATATTATTGATTGTTTTCATATTACTACATATGCATATAGATGAGAGATGGCCGGACATCGAATTTACACAACCCACCCCTAATATAGTGTGTTTTATTCGGTGTATATGGTACTTTCATAAGTTTCAAATTTCGCGCTATATCGGGCTTGCACGGGTTCCCATGCCGCAGGCACGCCTCGACCCCTCCACCCAAGAATGGGTTTATGGGCAGATCTAGGAGGGAGGGGGGTCCCTCCGAGACCCTTGGGGCAAATACTTCACCAGGGACCTGGGGCCTGTTTCATGGAATTTGCAAGCTCTACAAGTTAAAGGTAATTACAATGGTGGTGGCGTAGTTGAGCAAAGTGTCAGCGAGAGCAGCTGGAAGAGTTGAACATAGTAAACGAAGCTTGCAAGTACTTGTAACCTGTAGAACTTGTAAATTCAATTAAACAGACCCCTGGAGTTCTCAAGCTTATAGGCCTAAGCGGGTTTCAAGCTGACCAGATCAGCCTTCACGATTTTCGCCGCTCGGAGCAGCAAAGCTCGTTCGACGATCGTGTTATCGTGTTCCAGGTCGAGTACGGGCAGCGATTCGAATCGGGCCGATCGAGTTTCAACTCGGAAAAGTGGATCCGTGTCGGCCTCCGACGCGCAGGACGCAAAGCAAATACAGTCGAACTCGGTTATAACGTCATCGAAGGGACCAGGTAAAAATCGTCGTTATAACTGAGGTTGCCTTTATTGGCACTCCGTTTTCCTGTTTTCAAAATTGATGCTAGTATAAACGTTACAACTCTAGTTTACATCGGTCATACTGTACTAGTTTCAGTTTGAAGATTGACCCACTAATCGTGATGTTCGCGCTTCTTTGGGCCTTGAACTACTTTATACTTTACCAAGGCTTCGTCGATGTCATCTCGACAGCGTCGATGTCATCTCGTGAGCTCGGATGAAGCTGTCACGATTTTCCCAAATTCTGGAAACAGATGAACAGGTGTCCATGTTCACAAGCGACGTTTCGAAGATCGAAGATCGAGCTCTTTCAATTAAACTAATCGAGCACACTTTCCTTTCAATCGTGAAGTCTTGCCTCTTTCGTTTTCCATTGGCAATGCTGTCAACGAGAAATGTAAATGGCGACTGAGTTCTTAGTTGCTGGGAATTATCCCTCCCTGACATTGCTCCAGCCACGCCCACATGACTCACAACAGAATCCAGAAAATATAAAGTAATTGCTCCCCGACGCTGATTTTTCCGATGACGGATATTTCAGTTAAGAATGACGGATTAGGGGCACGAACGTTGTCGATTTCGTCAGTGGGACCTTGAATGGAATTAGTTAAAACCGAGGTTTCCTTATAACCGAGTTCGCCATAACCGGGGTAAAATGTAACGTGCCTCATGGGCTCTACGCCGGGATCTGGCGCTTTTGTCGTTATAACCGAGTTCGACTGTATGTACACTGTGGACTTTTTTGGATTTTTTCGCATAATAAGTAATGCCTTCATGTCTGAAGCTTACGATAGACACTTTCCTCATGAAAATCCGTTCATCTGTCTAGGAGTTTCACAGAATGACAGATAGGCTTCTTTATATATGTATATGATCATAATATTTACCGACACCATCGAGTGCCGAAGGCGGGAATGCTAGTATGTTTTGCTAGTATTTTATAAATAGTTACCTTTCATAAAATCAAAAAATTTCTCTTCCTCTGAATTGACGATGTGGAGACAACCAATGTTAGAGGATTTTTCGGAAATTTCCATGAAATGGGTTTCACCTCACATGTGGCACTGCAGAGCGCAGCAAGAACCAGTGGAGACAAGTTTATACACAACACTCGAGTCTCTTTCCCTGCGGGCTATGAGAACCGATTCTCTCCTGCCATTCATTTGGCCTGTCGCATCTGGCAGTCCGTGTTCGTGACGTGAATGCCAGGTATAAGAAGCGTCTGTTTGAATACCGCCTGCTCCTGACCCCTCTCCGACTTCCCCTATTCAACTACCTCCATTACTTCCCAAGGAAAACGAAAGAAGGCACCGTCTCGTTTCTCTACAAAGACCACGTGCTCAGTGGAGGAAAGAGGAAATTGTTCCGCCGATGAATGCTGATAAGAGAAAGAGGTTTAGCGCTTTCGGCGGTGGAAGAAGAGTGAAAAACTTTAATCGACCATATAATGTCACAAGGGCAAGATGCTCTGAAGATCCATTGCCATCGGCTGTCTTTACTGAGTCCGACGCGATGCATTTCCTACTGGAAAACCCCAAACGGATATCGGAATGGCGAAACACGGCAGGAATACGTGCTTTTTCCGTTCGATCGGATTCCTCATGGGACCTTGAGTCCATCATACCTCTAATCGT